TTCTTTATTGATTCGTATTGCATTGTTTGTCTTAGTAAGGGTATATTTTCTCAATGTAAACATAGTATAGATACTTTTCTCGGAAATCGTCTTGTCTTCATTTTTGTTTTCTGTATTATCGTCATCGAATTTTCTAATAAATGCATGCAATGTATTCATAACCGTATATTATGATGTTTCAATTGGTGTTAAATCTAGATCAATGTCTATTGTTAGATGAACTTATACATTTGTTTACATTCGATCAGGCATCGGATTGGACCCATAAAATATAGGATTGTGTGATCACGTAATATGTGAACTATCTAGATAATTCACATATTACGTGATCACACAATCCTATATTTTATGGGTCCAATCCGATGCCTGCATTCGATAAATAAATAAGTTTTTAACTAAGATTAGTCTTTTATCTTATTGTTAATGAAGGACAGTATCGATTTGTAATGAAATTGATCATATTGAAAAATATTTTCGATTATATATCATTTCATAGAATTTCGAAATTATTTTTTCAAGTTAATTTCTTTTTTTTATATTAAAGAATGAGTTTCAAAAGAATTGAGGTTCGTATTTAATCGAAAGAGTTAAATGAATTTTTGAATAATATAGCGTTTTATAAAATATTGTATTATAGAATTAATTAATAAAATGAATTATTTTATAAGTTGATTAATCATTAAAGTTTTTCTTAATATATGATTTTTGTAGTAAAAAAAAAGACTTTTTCGGCAGAAAAATGTTTCTTTTTCTTTTGCCAAAAAATACTGAACTCAAAATTTCCCAAAACTGATTACTGATTCGAATTCCTCGACTACGATTACCTTTCGTCGAGCTTCATAAAGTACGGTAACCTCCCTCTCCTATTCAATATAGGAAAATCGCTCACGCTCATAAGAGTGTGAGCTGTACATTCCTATTTAGGACTACCTAGGGGTGATCCTGAGCTAGTCGAAACGAATCACATTCTTTTAATTAAGTCGAATTAAAAACCAAAGGTTCATTCCTACTTATAAATTGCTTCTGAAAATTTTTATCTTCTGATCTTAGAATAAATCAGTCAACACAATATGAATTCAATAAAATTCAGAGGAAAATGATTTGATAAAAATTTAGTTGTCTGAAGTACAAAATAGAGTAAAGCATATTGAAATAAGCATAGCACATTTCTCTTTAGTAGATTCATTAGGGTGTGGGTGTGGGTGTGGGTGTGTGGATGCGGGTCGGTGTGTGGATTTGTATTCATTCACCAATACCCACGTCCAACCACATTCACATCCACATCACACCCAGACCCCACACTCACCCACACCCACATCCACCCACACACCCTTACACCCACACCCACACCCTCCTTTTTGGGAAAGTTAAACACTGCTGAGAAATAATTCAAAATGTAAAATTGTCAAAAATCATAAAATATCCTGATGAAACTAACAACTTTTCTACTATCTACTGTATCTTTAATGTTATAGCCAAATAGTTTACCAGCGTCACCTTCTAGCTTATATATGCAATTTAATTTCATCGAAATTTAAGAATCTTTTTCAACAATATTCTTTTACTACCGATATATATATTTCTGAGTAATGAGTACATAAAATCATTAAACAGTGTCTACTCAACACTTTATTCAATAGTTCATCTTCAAAAAACAAACAAAACATGTTCTAGACATTTATCTATCTATTACTGACAACTAAAATGAGTTTTGAAGATGCTCCAAGGAGGAAAAAGAATTACTCGTCAAAGTAGCTCAGTAGGAAGTAACCCTCTAGAAAAAGAAATATGTGTAATTTTTGATTATACTATTCGGTTTATACACACAATCACGACATCCACACCCTCAGATACAGTTATATCGAATTGAAATTACTGATCAAATCGACTATTTGAATGAGCAGTACGGAAGACGAACGTGGACACATTAGTGAGAATGAGACAAGAGATACAATAATGGCGGATTAGTGTGCCGAGACAAGTAATAAGGTGTTTAATTGAAATTTAATAATAATTTTGTTTGAATAGCAAGTCTCACCATAGGTCGTGATTTTCGTGGTAGACGTGTGTGCTTTGTCGGATCGTATTAAATTTCAGACGCTAGTCCGATCAAGTGTCAAAAACTAGAAATAAAACAGGAAAACAAAAATTCATCAAAATACAAATGAGTCGGATAGCGTTCGTGGTTGTTTGTAGACAAGTGCCAATTGACTACTATAGGAAATGAGGCTTTATTTGCGAAGTAACCACGGAACAGAGCCAAACTCATCGTTTCTTTATAGTGTCAGAATGTGTTCTTATTCTGTCAGTCGAATGTGATGGTGCAATTACGTTTTCAATAGTGATGTTGCATTACTGTTGATGCTATTCTTCACGATATGTATCAATGTATTATTAATGGATGTGAATACCCGAGTTTGAATTGAACGGATGACTTTGTTTCACATCCAATTCAAAAATGACGATGAGAGTGGGATTGAAACAAAAATGAACATCCGTATCTACACATCGATTGTTTCTGTAACACATAACCAAAGTGAAGTATTTTCAGATTATTATTATTTAAGGATGTGGGTGTGGCTGGGTGTGAGTGTGGGGTGTGAGTGTAGGTGTGGGTGTGGGTGTGGGTGCGAAGTTGGTGGGAATGTACGTGTTGATGTGGATACGAATAGATGACTCACACCTACATCCACAACCTTATTTATATTCATTTAATTAACGATGATTTAATAAAAACGAAGCAGTATATTTGAACAATCAGACTTTTTCTAAATGTTTTTTTCTTCATAATGAACGTCTACATAAAAGAAGGAGCAGAGTTTTGTCGAAGCATCATAAGGCTGAGTAAGGATGCCACTAGGGAGAGGAGGGATTTAAATGTGCGACGTTTACCTGGACGTTCTTAATGGATGATCGCCTATATTTTTTCAATATAAAAAAGGTGCAAGAATACTCTCTATGGAATTCAAATGCGGCACATGTTATAGCTGCTTATATTCTAAAAGATAAAATCCAGTAATACGGTTCGAGCTTTTAAATTTACTATGTATGTTGTATAAGAGTTCATTATGGAAGACGTTGACTATAAAGTATTACAAGAAGTATGGAAGTATAGGAATCTTATTCTCTATGCTCATCTCGTAAATTGTGGTAAACATCTTAAAGACGATTCATAAGGTTTTACCGGCAAAGAGATGAGTCAAAACTGAACAAGTTGGTACAGAAGCGAAGGATATCAAATATATTTGAAAGGTATCTATATAACTGTTGATTAGATTTTCAAAAATATTTATATATTTCATAATTCATTTGTACATATACACTAGTGAGTAGCATGAATTTCGCATTTGACTTTCAATAATTACCAAAAGTTAGGACTGTGAATTTCGTGTTTTTGGAATTACTAAAAGTGTAAAATATAATAATCGAATCTTTGAAAATTAAAGGGTATTCTAAATTGATAGAACTCTCATATACATATATGTATAAGTGTCTATTTTGTTTTTGAAGGAGTAATGCTATTGATATGTTGATTATATGTTAATGTACGCATAGCTCTCTAGTATCTCTTTCTATCATTTATTTTGTTTGTCTAATATTCTATTTAGACTCTAGATGAGGTACAAAAAAGAATAACACATGCACAGTCTTCAATACTGGTCATATTAAGGAGACTATTTTTTTTTTGGCGTGTGAACTAAATCAGCAATAGATTAAACTAGACTTTATAACGTTTGTTTTCTTCGGCATAATTTCCTTTAGAACATAAATTGTTCATCTTCATGATTTTCATATGAAACTGACTATACATTATTTTACAGTACGATAAATATCTTCATTCTATGAGAAATTGATAATGAAAATTTTGAAATTCATTATATGCGAACTTCCGTAGGTTGTATCTCTGGAAAGACAAGTATAATCATATTATCATTCAGTTCACTTTCAAAAAAATTTACAATCTTCTACTTGTTAATAACAAACAAAAAGTATTTGCCATTACTTGCAACTAGATGGCGACCACTCAAAAGATGTCAAACTCAGCAAGAAAAACCTATGGATACAAATTTGTTCGAGACTTTTTATAGTTTACCAAGATCTAATATTTGACAAAATATCAGCTGAAAAGGCTGCGCATACCTTGAAGTGTTTTCTCGTGAGTGACATTTTGCTCAACAGAATTAATTATAGTCTCACATATGGAATTATGAGAGATATACCATTCCCAATTTCAATTTTGTACAAGATTAGGAAATCACCATTGTGTTTAGTACTAATTATTACTTTAACTGATTAGTCTAAGACAAAGAGTAAAAGAAATATTCAATTTAGTCTTTGTGATTTTCTGAATATGTGTACGACCTAGGTAATCTATGTACGTAATCTTAATTAGTACAACTAAAGATATGTGAGAACACCTTTGAGTTCTTTATATTGTCGCGATCACTTTAACCGGATACAAGGAAAAAAGAACCTGATCGAAACTACCAGAAAGAGTTGTTTGAATTAGCACTAAAACTTAAAGTTAAATATTTTATGATCTTAATTGAATTATCTCATAAATCATATCAAATAGTATATAATATTAGTATCATGTAAAACATCAAATTTCTTTATTTTGTTTTTGATTTTATTTAATTTAATTTAATTTTAGCCAAATAGTAATCTACTTTATTTATTACAGACAATGTCTGATGCATTTAGTCAATCAGTTCCTTTTTGTCAAATTCGAATACATTGAGTCGCTCACCACTATATCATATTCATATGAATATCCACAAACAAAATTCCTCAAGATATTTATCGCGATTCTGTTCAATCAGCTGTTTTAGATAGAGTTCGAACTCGTTTAGATGAAACAATGCAAATAGGAAAAGCACAAATCGATTTACTTTAACGACTTGAACAAGATTTAATTGAGGGAGAAAAAAGAATTCAATCATTTATTAATGATGCATAACAACAACAAATTCAAGTATAAGTTTGGCTTGTTTTTAGAATTAAATAACACATAAGAAAGCACAACCTAATGAAATGTGAGAAGCAATACAAAAGATATCATCATTATCACCATCAGGAAAAGGAAATGCTATTAAAGAAGATGCTCTTATAATTCCTGCACCTGTAGAACTTTCTCGAAAACAATTTATTTTAAGAGCTAGAATATATAAATGTCGACAAGTTGCTGACTGACCTTTAAAATAAATATTTATATTTGTTGAATAACAATAAAAGTTAAAAATGGAGGCTCCGGGCATCGATCCCGGTGCCTCTCGCATGCAAAGCGAGCGCTCTACCGTGTGAGCTAAGCCCCCATCGAGAGTTCTTGTTCGATTTAATGTCGATTATTGTATATTATACGAACTAAGACTTGTATAAATAATTTAATCATAACAATGTGATTTGATAATTGTCTTTCATTCGAAAAAGAAAAGCATTTCAAAAGCCTCTGACTATAGACGAACATCTAAAGACAATTCAATAACAACGGTCTAATCTAAAATCATATGAAAAGCTAGTAAACTTGACGTATCTATTGTTTGAAATTCATTTTGCTTACAATATTTGTTGTTTTCAAGAGGAAGAGATAACGGAGAAGTACAACGTATTGTAAACAACATATTTGTTGTTTATGTTTTTGAAAATCTAACTGCCCTATTCGTTTAATCAGTCTAAGACATTTGACAAAACTTTTCTGATCTGTTGCTATAGAAATCAGTAAAACCAACGATTTTTTGACTTACTTATAGTCGAAAATTAAATTTTATTTTTTATAAAGTTTGCATTACACTGGCAATCTTCTAATGTGTTGAAATTGATGATATATTACTCAACAAAATTTTGTCGAACGTTCATAATATGGTACATCTGCTCAAGTCGGCTTATAACTAGAGTTACTAAAAAAATATGGTTCTACACATTTTTGTGCAACATTAATGATAGAGAGAAGTTAACAAGAATAACTCCTAATAAATTTTGATAAATGATGGAAATAAATGTCACTCATAAAGAAATATGTTAAGCAATAACGTTAATTTCGATGATTGATTCATTGAATAGAACATGATTGCTTCAAGAGTTTATCAGGTTTTTTTTTGTCTTCAATTCCTGGTATATTTTACGAGTCGAATAATCATTAATTCGTTTTAGGCTAATCTGTACATTAATACAAATCTAATAAGTAAAATATTTAATTACAACCACAATATTTTTTTTGTTAAGATATTCGTTTTTTAATTACTTGTGAAACTAAGATTTAAATCATTCGAGTATTATCGTTTATTTCTCAATATGTACACAAATTAAATGTATAAAAAAAAATCAAATAATAACTAGAATTCTTATTTTGTATCTTAAGCGAACTAATAAAAGTCACAGTCAATAGACTCGGTTTTGTATGACTGTAGATTTTTGATTCGTTGCGTCTAAAAGAAAAGTCACACCTGTACACAAAGTGTATTTATGTACCCATGTTTGAAAACAAGTAGATGAATGATTAGAACGATGACATCATAAAAATAAACAATAGAAAGAAATAGCAAAAAACAACTAAACCATTGGAAAAACTAACAAATTAAATTGAACCGTAATAGCATCAGGCAACTCTATCGAAGATTCAATCTGTGTACAGACCATGGATTAGCTTGTTAATATCTCTGATTTGAATGGCATCAATAGATTCTATTATATGCAGGAAAATTTCCATCGTCACTGTGAAATTAGCAAAAATATATTTGATTTCATCAATCTTTGATTGGTTTATTAATAAAAGAAATATTTTAATGGGTAGTCATTTTGGTTTTATTTATGAACTAATTAATGGTAAACGCATGTAACAAAAACAAAACTTTTATTCTCGTTTATTTGGTGACTTTCTTGAGCCACGTTTGTTTCCACCTTGAATATGATCACGACGAATTGCTGAACTAGTTTGTTTTTTATTGCGTTGTTTTCGTGCACTTATATAAAGAAAAACAGCTATTGCTATTGATAAGAATAAAAAAACTGCCCATTGTTTCATCACTAAATTACAATTGAAAATAATATTAAATCAAAAAAAAAATAAAAGACAAAAAAATTTACAAAATTGAAAAATGAATGACCATGGTAGAAGACCTTCTTTTGTTTGTGGTCTAGATGAAGGTAATTGTTGTTCATCTTCAGATTCCTCTTCAATAGTTGCTTCGTCGGACATGATTTTTTTTGTAAAATCTACAATCAAAGAAGAAAAATTCCAAATCATGTTTCTTTTTTTTTTGTATTTTTAATAGACAAAAAGCAAAAAGAAAAACGAAATATTCATTGAGTTTTTTTTGTTTGTTCTAAATCAGGATTAGGAGCTGACCAATAATATCCTAATTGAAATATTAATAAAAAATTGGCAAATGAATTTAATATATATGTCCATATAAGTGTTGGATCTCCTGTTTCTTCAATTGATGTAAATATTCGTGCTAGTGAACCAAAAAATAACATTAACATTGTTATAGCAGAAAGATTTCCAGTTGATTTTGCATTATATATGCAATAGGATTGCCAAAGACGACTTATTAAACTTAATGCAAGAGATAAACCAGCTAATAGACCAACAAACTGAGCTGGAAGTATTTTTTGATACATTAAAATGGTCACAAATCCACATAAAACTAAATGAAAATAAAATCTTATTCGAATATGATCGAAGAACAAAAACTTTATAAATAAATTCTTCTTCTTATAGATTTGTCATCACTTCAAATCGACTAACATTATCATGAATGAGTCAAATTCAATGAGAAAAGACTTTCTTTATGAATAACTAAAGTCCTACTACATACAGATGACATCATCCTACAATAAAAAAGTAGCACCATCTATGAAAATGTCAACACAACTGAGTAAAACTTGTTAATACATAGAGGATATCTTTCTTTACAATTCTATAATAAAACTGTTACAAAACATATTTCAATTGAATACATTAGTTTATTTCTAAGTTAATAATGACCTTAAGAAGAAACCATAGAACTTTCTCATTATTAAATGTATACAGCTCCGAGAAATTTCAAATAAAAGCAAATATTTGTATACAGTTTTTTATTCGAACAAAATTTTGAAACTCGATTATCATTCATTTTGATAGATATTAATTCTAATGAAATTCTGATTGAATCAAAGTTTATTCAAAAAAAAAACAACACATATTTATATGTGATGTTTATAATATATTCAAGGAGAATCATTTCATATCATCTGTCGTACTTATATTATTATATAAGAATATTTATTCAATTGTAATGCAAATTAACAAAAAAATATTGTCTTCTCAAAACTTCAAAAGTAGAATAGTCCAATCAAAAAAAAACTCTTCAAATTTTGTCTGTTTTTTTTTTTGAAAAAGAAAAGATTTCTAACAGCAGGATGTCTTTAACCTCGATTTTCATTCGTCATTCATAATAAAAAGATTTTTCAATAGAATAATTATGTCTACAAGTGAAATAATAAAGAATTTATAAATAAGAAAAACAGACCTTATCGAAATAAGAAGATGTTTATTCTTAACTATTAAATTTATCCTCATTCGTTATATTTCAAGCTAAAATAATTATTAAAATCTTAAAATGATCAATTTGATATAATCGTTATATCCCTATTGAGGCAAAAACAAAAAACAAACCTAAGTAAACAATAGCGATTGTATATTTTCGTTTATAATAAAGTACCAATAAAATAACCAATATTGTTTGAATAAATAAAAAATAAGAATCTCCATAAGCTGATATTGGAAATTCTGATGTATAACCATAAGCCATTGATCCAAATATAGCTGCTAACATAATTGTTTCAGCTAAAACACTTACACCAACACCTGATTTATTCCAATATATTTTAACTATTTGAGGAAATTTAACAAGTAATGAACCAATTAATATAGCATAACCAAGCATTTTACTTAATAACATTTTATTACAAGTAAAATCAAAAAAATGTTGTTTTAATACTAATTGATCATAACAATGAGGTGATAATAAATTTGATACAATTGTTTCAAATGATGACCAAAATGATTCTTCCATTCTTTGTTTGTTTTAATTCTTTTGATTTTATTATCGAACAACAAACGAAAGTTCTTTTACAATACAAATAAAACTTCTCTTCCACATGAAAAAGACATTATTCTACTGATTAAACGTGTCGTTATATTTAATCAATTACATTATATAGAAAAAGATGTCACTAACTAACAACCTACATTTTATATAACTACATTGTTAAAACTTTATTCAACCTTCGTTCTAATTTAAATAGATCGGTTATTAGGACCGAAACTATAAGAATATGTTATTCCAACTGAAACTAAACATTCTAAATCATACCAATGAGAACATAATTAAAGAAAGATAACCCAAAAAAGTAATAATCATTAACTACAATTAGCGTGCATCGAGAATCGATACACTTGACCCTAGACTGACGGCATCGTGCTAAATTTATAAACAAACCTAAGTATATCTGTACTCTAAGGAAGATAATAGAAAATGGAAGAGATGACTTAAAATGTAACGATGAGGCCTGTGGCAAAGTTAGTTTTTCAATAATATACAATGATCATTTGTGTTATAGAGATCAGAGATGAGCAAAATCGCACCGCGCCTTCCCGCGCCACTGCTCGCGCCTAGGCGCTACGCACATCTCTCTTTCTTTTTGCTCTACCAATCAGTTTCTCAAACTCCACCGAATACCGGGATGCTCTAAGCATGCGCTCATCAAAGCTCAGACTAGTGTAGCGTAGGCGTGAGCAACGGCGCGGGGAAGCGCGGTGCGACTTTGCTCATCTCTGATAGAGATGATCATACATACTATAATCATATACAATCTTACCATAGATATGGTTGTTCGTGTTATATAAATGGGCATTTGTGTTGTACCCACCCTCGTTTGTCCCACAGAAACAGCTATATTGGTCATAGCAACGATCATTTATGCCACAGAAATAGCCATTTATTTGATAAAAATGTTCATTTGTGCCACGCCCTTTTTACAGACAGACACAGATGAATTACAGTTTCTAGACCCTAGCCTTTTAGTCTAGGGAACATAAATTAAAAAAAAATGAGTATTGAAGCAGTTTTTTAGATCCCATATATCAAGGAATTTGGAATGTTTTTTTTTAGGCCTGAATCACTAAACAAAACCTACCAGATGCCAGATTCGATTTATCCAGACTATGATCAGAATCATGAAAAACAATATCAGGACTGGATCGAGACCAAAAAATCTTGGTCCTATACATGTCTACTCCTAATTGAAATAAATAAATCGATTATTTTGAAAATCTTAGAAAAAAAAAACGAAGGTATATAGCATGTTTCATAAGTCTTGAAACACAATAAAATTAATTAATATATTGGACAGAAAGTAAATCTTAATCGAATGTTTTATAAATGAGTTTTATGTATTGGTGTCAATCTTTCAAATGACATTATCTATCGAATAATATTTTCTCTTCTAATAATTAAAATGTAAACATGAAAATGTCAGGAGACATCTTTTTACAATTGATCAATAAAAAAAGAAAAAAAAAAAAAACAAGACCAAGAACATTCCTATATTAATTTAATTAATAGAAAAAAACTATGACCTATTTATTTTCTACACTAATTTCTATTAATTCTTCAAGTTTCTTAGGAATATTTAATTGATGATATCAAATAATCTAATTCATTGTTTATTCAATTTACTTTTTATTTATTTAAAGCTTTTTCTCGAATTATCGAAATAAAAACTGAGTATTAAATAATTCAAAATAGCACCATTGTTATTTCTATATCATTTGTCATGCAATGTTTTTCAGATATTTTATCCATTTGAAATCTGTTACTTGAGTATAGTATTCTACTGAAGATGTTATCGAATGAAACTTAAATAATTATTGATTCCTAACATTTTCATGTTTAGATGTTTTTATTCAAAATAATATATCATTTGAAAGATTTACATCAATATATTTAAAATTCATTTATAAATTTATTTTCTATCTTAATATTATTCAGATTTTTTAAAAAAATAACAAAAATAAATCGAAAAAAAAAAAGATATGAATAAACAATTGATCTTATTATTTTATTTTTAACATTTATTTAGTTATGTTCGAATAAAAACTAATGAAGAATTTATTCTCTTGTGTATATTCTATGTTAGAATAATAAATATCTTTTTTTTTCGGAATTTGATATTCAAAACACATAAATCTATTGATTTTTTTGTTCAGAAAAATACTTTCGAATATGATTTTCTCATATCAACATAAAAATTATTCATACTATTTCTAATACTTTCTTTAGTAAATTCGATTAGTAATTTATTTTAAGATAATTTAAATCAAGCTAATTATTAAATTATTTCTATTCATTATATTAATGTGCATGAATAGATACAGACTAACTATGCCGAATAAACCTATGAATATAAAGTTATTATTATCTGATTAAAAAAAAAATATAAAAATCGCTTGAATTATCATTAAGAAATATTTATGTTTAGTTTTCCAATGAAATTTTGGAACCTTTCCTAGTTTGTTTAGAAACTATTCATTTCTATCTAGATCGAGTAATGTAAATTTTGAGACATTTTCATTAGATGAGATAACCAAGATAGATCTATGTGTAGACATTCATATAGAGGTTAAAAATAGAATTTTTTTTCAGAATCGTGACGAACTAAACTGATTGACTTGGTTTTATAAAAGTGCAAATCGAATTGACCTCGATAGTCAATAATATAATGATTGAATTTTTATTATTTTATTTTATTTCACAATAAAAAAAAAGAAATCTTGTAAATATTATATTTCTTTTTTTCTTCTTTATTGAAATTGAACAAAAATCTTTAACTGATTTAGATAAATAAATAATCTCCAATAATTATACAATTTTATCAAAAAGAAATACTTGAGAAAAATCCTCTTGTCTAATGTGAAATAAAGATTTTTCTTGAAAGAAACATTTCAGAAAATAGTAATAATAATATAAAAAAAAAAACCAATAATAGATCATAAAGGGAAATGGCATTCTTTTGTTGATGAGTTTGTATTTGAGCTAGAAGAAAAAAATTCCATATGAAAAATAATACGTTAGTGACATTGCTTCGTTATTCTCATTGATAAGATGAGCATAGATTGATGAACGGAAATCTTTTATTTTATGATGAATGTCTTGAAAATATCTTTACTTTGTTCTTTGAATGAAAGAGATTCTTTTGTAAATGTGCTCTTCCTGTTTTCTCTTTCCGTTCTATATTCGTTATTATCTATGATAAAGATATGCCCTATTTTTCTTTCCGGTATGTCCTTATACCATAAAACACAATATTTTGTTCAAAAATGTAATTATATTAAAATGAATTTTCTTTTTAATGTTTTAATTAAGTTGATTATTTAAAATAATAATAGTTATTTCAAATATCTTTGTAAACGTTTGATGTTAAGACATGTCAAATTGAGTTGATTGTATTTATAATAGTTAGAAAAAAAAAGAGAGGAATCCCTATTGTGACATAGAAGAAAAAAAAAAAAAATGTTTTCCTTTAGATTAGCGAAGCACAAAAAAAAAAGCAGGGCCAAAAAGAAATATTCTATTCTTATTTGCTTGTTATTTATTCTATTTCGATATAGCGTGTTATGTCATCAACATCATCATCCCAAACTCTATCATCAACATCAGTTCAACATTCGAATGAACTTATTGATTTAACATCATGTTCAACAAATCCAACAAGTTTTGCACCTTTACATCGTACAGTTGAATTAGAAAATCTTCATGATTTTATTAAAAATGATGAAAAACAAATAACAATTACAACAAAAAAAATTTTAACAAAATGTATGACTGTCATTGGTGATGGAAGTGACAAACAGATTTAATAACTCTTATCGTTTTTTTTTTAAACAAAAACTTTTCTTTTTCTGTTTCATTAATAAAGAAATTAAATCTTTTAAATAATATCCTAAATAGAATAGAATTTCATATTAATAGAAGATGGATTCTGTGACAACAAAAAAAACAATGATGAACGTGCTCTTTTTTTCGAAGAAAACGAACGATAAAAAATTTATTTTGAAGATTTTCTCTTATCTTTACATGAAAGAACACATGATGCTATTTTTTTTTTTTATAAGAAATTATTCATTTGGAAAGATTATCTTCTTCCACTTTCTCCTTTTCTTTTTTTTTTTGACATTCAATAGTATCTGTTTAGGGATTATTCAAAAAAAAAAAACAAAAGTATTATTTTTTGTTTGTTTGAATAATCATTTATTTAATTTAAAAATGCTTTATGGTATATTATTGGAAAGTGCACGAGATGGAATATGTCTTAGTTATGGAAATCATATATGGAAAAAAATTGTACAAGAACTTAATTTTGAACATGAATCATTTGCAACACTTGGTCGTTATGAAGATAATTTAATTGACAAAATAGCTGAATGTAAAAGAATATTTCTTTTTTTAAAATAATTTTTTTTTGCTGAATAAGGTCTTGCTGATATTCTTCATGAAGGTACACCAGAATATTATATGCAATTTTTTGGTGAATGTTTTGTTCGATTTTTTACAAATTATGGTTATGATAAAATTTTACGTGTTGCTGGAAGACATTTTAGAGATTTTCTTCATTCAATAGATCAACTTCATGATTCAACAAAATTTAGTTTTCCACAAATGAGATCTCCATTATTTCATGTACTTGAAGAAGATGAACATGGAGCTTTTCTTCAATATAAGTAAAAGATTTTTTTTTTTGTTTTTTAATATTTAAAAAAAAAACTGAAATTAAAGATCACGTCGTCGAGGTTTTCAACGATATATTGTTGGTCAATTGAGAGAATGTGCATCTAGATTTTATAATGAAGATATTTATGTTAGAATTCAAGATGATATATCAACAAATGAATGTAATTATTTAAGATTTTGTTTTTTAATATAAAACAAAACTTATTTTTAGGTACTCTTATTATATTTCGAGTTGATTTTAATAATTCAGCTGTAAAAGAAACTTCACAACGTCTTTTTAATAATCCAAATTTACCAGATATAACAAGTGAAACATTTTTTAAAGTTTTTCCATTTTGTCTTTTAATTGATCCAAGTATGCGTATATTTCATATGGGAAAATCAATTAAAAGTCTTTTTCCTGTTGATACTGTTTTAAATGGTCGATATCTTGAAGAAATTTTTCGACTTATTCGACCAGATATTATATTAGAATGGAATAAAGTAATATTAATTATTTATATTTATTGTTTGTTTTTTTTTGTTTTTGTGTTAATATATTTCTATAAAAAGGTACTTAGTTATGGTCGACATATTGTATTTTTAATGGAAAGTCGAATACCACTTCGATCTGATAAAGGAAATAAATCAAATGAAAATTTAATAATTCAAAGATCTAAAACAACAGTTGGACCAACAGGAAGTTCATCTATTCGTTTAAAAGGACAAATGAAATGGATATCGAGTTGGAATATGATTGTTTTCTTATGTCATCCTGTGTATGTCTTTTTTTATTCTTTTCTTATTCAAATAATTAATTGAATAAAAAAAAAATAGATTATCAACAACTGAAGAAATGATGAATATTGGATTAACACTTCATGATTTAAATTTTTATGATGGAAGTAGTGAAATTCTTATAGCTGGAATGCAACATGCAAGACAATTACAAGCAGCTATTGATAAAGTATGATGAGATTTTCTTTGATTTAAAAAAAACAAACGAATTAAATTAATTTAAGCAACATGCTTGGATTTCACAATTACAATCAACTAAAGTTGAGTTACAAGAATGGCGTCGAAAAGGAAAACGTCTTCTTTATTCAATGATGCCACGTCATATAGCACAAATGTTACAACAAGGAGTTGTAGCCAATTCAATTTGCGAAGTTTTTATATATAAAAAAATTTCATTTTTTAATTAATATTTTTTTTGTTTTTTGTTTTTTAAATTTTAGTCACATAAATTAATAACTGTATTATTTTGTTATACATTAGATTTTAAAGATGTTATACAAAAATTAACTCCAACAGAAATAGTTCAATCTATTAATCAAATGGTTATTGTTTTTGATCAATGTTCAGATAAATATGATGTTTTTAAAGTTGAAACAAAAGCTGATTCATCTTATATGATTGTATCAGGTATTCAAGAACGACCTCAACAAAGACGAGTATCAAATATGGTATAGATTTTGTATTTTCTTATAGAATTTAATTTATTTTATTTTAATTTAAGTCTGGATCAAGTGCAAGAAGTTCAATAGGTGATGATAGTTTAGAAGAAGGAATGACAACTGTAAAAAATCCATTGGGTTTAAATCAAGCTGAAATTGTTGCTGGACTTGCTCTTGAAATTTTAAAACAATCAAAAAAATTAATTAATAAAATAAGCAAAATACCATTTAAAACTAAAATTGGTTTTCATTCAGGTCCAGCTGTTGGAGGAATAGTTGGACATAAAAATTATCAATATTGTCTTTTTGGTGATACTGTTAATACGGTTTTTATCATATATTTATTAAAAAAAAAAAAAAGAATTCGAGATTTTTTATATATTTTAATAGGCAAGTCGAGTGACAACAACAAGTGATGTAAGAATTTTATTTTTATGAAATTTATACTATAATTAATATAATTAAAGGTGGGTCGTATTCATTTGAGTGCAGCATCTTGGCAATTATTAAAAGATTCTTCTTATTTTGAAACAAGTCCTCGAGGAAAAATTCAAATGAAGGTTTTTTTTCTATTTAATATTATATTTGAAGATTATTTATTTATTTTTTTTTTATAAATTAAGGGTAAAGGTGAAATGCAAACCTATTGGTTAAATGGAGCTACAGACGCATATATTGAACATACTCTTATATTAGAATCAAAAAATGAAACTGTTGGTAATGATATGTTATCTGATTATCATCCAACAATGTATGAGATAAATGATGGAAGAAAATCAATGCCATCAATAATTAATAAATTACCATCATCAGTTGATCAATGTCCATTTAATGCTTTTAAACCAACTCATTTTATTTAAACTAATAAATATCTTTTTTATCAAATCTTTTCAAAAGAAAAGAGAGACAACCTATTTTATCATCTGTTTATTTTAATAAATATTGTACGTTTTCTTTTTGTTTATTGTCATATTGTTTTTAATATAATATTAATTATTTGTAACCTCGTTGAATTCTAAACAATATGAAAACTTAGTCAAATAATTTTATTGAATGATATCAAGGGTCGACTGATAAGAATATGTTTAAATACCTAACTTGTTTATCAGTACGTGCAAGAATGCTGGGCTCGTATAATTTTGGGTTTTTTATTTTTTTCTTAAGCTGATAGCATGTGTTATTAAGTATACAAAAAAATATCTTTTATTCGGTTATTTTATCTATCTAATATAAATCATAATGTCAACTTAATACTAAAGTATAGTCTTATTTTGAAGTAAAATTGTTGTTGTTTTTTTTTTGTTTGTCATTTGAAAACTATGATCTTTAACATGTGAGTATGTATATTTTTGTTTTGTTCTGTTCTGTTCGATTACTTTATTTACCTTGAAAATATTTACTTTCTTTTTTCCCAGTATGGTATTATTTACTTCATGTATGTAGTGGAGATTTTGGTCATCATGGAAAAATTTTTACTGTGAGAAAAATGATGTATTTGTTGAGTATATAAAGCTGAAGATTTTTTTTTTAAACAGATGTACAAAAGAAAATTAAACTTATTTTAATAAAATATTTTTTTATTAGAAATTAATTATTTTCTATCAGTACCTTTGGCATTGATAATTAAACAACATGTCCAAACGTTCCTGTAAGATTAATTTAATAATAAATTTATAATTTTTCTTTATTATTTTTCATTAAGCTCGAGCAACAGGCTCAACTGTTCCAAAATCAGTCTGGAATAATCCAGCTACAAGTACTACAACAGTATCTGAACGTTCTCAAAGTGAATATCCAACAGTAACAGAATCAATGAGTAAACTTTCAATGGGATCTGAATCAATAAGTGGAGCACGTTCTCAAACTACTCGTCCATCATATCGACGTCGAATTTTATATTCAGCTGTTCCTGATACAGATGTACTAAAACCAATTCATCGTCCTGATGAATATGGTAAAGTAGGTAAATCCATTCAAATATATACGAATCATTTTCGTGTATCAATTGATGATGCAATTATTAATCAATATGATATTGAAATTTCAATGATTCGTCGAGATGGAAATTTATGTTCAGCACGAAAAGATGAACGTTGGCAAACATTAAAAGAACTTGCTAAGAAAGAAAAAAATTTTCCTATTGTTTGGTAAGTTTTTCTTGTTTATTTTTATTTTTCAAATTAAAATTAGAAACAAGTTGTTTTATTAATATGATATTAGGTATGACGAAGGTAAAAATTTATATACAAGAGAATTATTAACAGATTTTACAAAACCAATTCGTATTCAAATAAAAATAAATAATGAAAATAAAATATTTGAATTTAAAGTATTGAATCTTGTTCGACAAGAAAAAATTCGTGATATATTTGATTTTATTAATGGACGAACTGAAATAAAACCAAGAGATCCTATACGAGTTATTGAAACATTATTTAAACAAAGTATTCGTAATGATCTTGTTTGTATACGAAATAATTTCTATAGTCGACATCAACAACTTATTGATCTTGGTAAGTTTTTTTTTTTTGTTTATATTAACATTTTGTATTTATTTTAAGAAAACTTAATTTAAGGTGATGGACGTGGTATGGCTAATGGATTTCATCAAGCATTATGTCTTACACATTCTGGTCCAACGTTAAATATTAATTTAGCATTTACATGTTTTTATTTACCATTAAATTTTGTTGATTTTTCTTGTAAATATTTACGAAATGATATTACTAAAAAAATTACAGCAACTGAAATCGAAGGAATAAAACAACTTTTTAAAAATTTGCCAAGTATATTTGAACTTATTTTTTTTTATAAAGTAAAATTTTTCTTTTAATATAGTTGAAACAACACATGCTGGTCGTCCTCTTCGATATCGAGTAAAAGGTTTTGGTCAATCTGCAAATCAATTGACATTCAATCTTCGATCTGATAAAGATCAAACAACAACAACAACTGTAAAAACTGAAAATGAATTAACACTTGATGATCCCCATAATGATCAATCAACAGTAGAATTGAAAAAATCAATTAGTGTAGCTGAATATTTTGCCAAAAAATATAAACCATTAAAATATCCTCATCTTCCTTGTGTTGATGCTCGAAATGGTAATGGAGAAAAAGCAAATTGGTTACCAATGGAAGTTGTTAAGGTAAAATTAATCAATAAATATATGTATATTAATAATTATATTTAATAGATTGTTGAATGGGAACGTGCTTTAAGACCACTTGATAGTGTTCAACGTGCTCTAGTCTCAAAAACAACAATTATTAAACCAGATAAACGATATGATCAAATTATGAAAATTGTACGAGAAAGAAATTTTCAATCAGATATATATTTACAAACATTAAATATTAAAGTAGATACAAATGAAATGATGCAAATAAAAGGTAAATTAATATTTAAGATTCTATTTATTAATTTATTAATATGATTTAGCTCGTATTTTACCACCACCGGAAGTAAAATATCGTGGACAAAAAAACAATGAAGTTGCTGAACATGTTGCTGTAGGAAAATGGTCAATACGAAATCGATTTTATACTAGTCCAATCATTAATCAATGGGGAATGATTTATTTTGGTCCAAAACCTGATCAAAATATTATTAATATTTTAACTGATTTTCAAAATCAACTTCCACAAGTAAATTTTCATTATCTATCATTATTTTATTGAATTGGAAAAATAATGTTTAGCTATTGGCTGACTTTGGTTTGTTATTTAAATCAACACCAAAGACTATGGCAAAATCTCCTCAAAGTGAAGATATTGAAACTGCAATGAAAATAGCTTGTAATGAAAATTGGCAAATAGCTATTGTTGTTCTTAATAATGTTCTACCGGAAGTATATGAATCTGTTAAACAATGGGGTAATCAAACACTTGGTGTAACTACTCAATGTGTCAGTTTTCAATCACTTCAACGAAATGCTGGCAAATATCGCATGTGTAAAGATTTTTGTTATTTTTTATTTTTCTTTTTGTAACGATATTATTTTTAGATGTTCAAAATTTAAGTCAAAAAATAAATACAAAAATCGGTGGTATCAATGGTATTGTTAATTTAAAAGCAGCACTTAGTCGTTCATCACATGAAGATTTATTTATGTTCTTTGGTGCGGATGTAAGATATTTGTTTAATCAAAAAAACAAAAAATTTTTGTTTTTTTTCTTTTAGGTTACTCATACAACTTGTTCACCTGATCAACCATCAATAGCAGCTGTTGTTGGTTCATGTGATCCAACTTGTAGTCGTTATGTAGCACGTCTTGCTGAACGTATGTTTTCCTTTATTCGTTAATTAATCTTTGAAAACAAAAAGTCTTTTTTTTATTCTTAAAGAATATCCAAAAATAGGTCGTTGTTCAGTAGAAATTATCAAAGAACTAGATAAAATAGTTATTGAATTACTGCAAGTTTTTTCACGTACATGTGGAAATCGTTTGCCTAATCGAATTGTTTTTTATCGTGATGGTGTTGATGATGGACAATTTCAAAAAGTACTTGATAATGAAATAAATAAAATAAAAAATGCTTGTCGAGGTAAATTTAATTTTTTTGTTTTGAAAATTGTTTATTTTTGCGTATGTTTAGTTGTATATGGAAATTTACAATTACCTAGATTAACATTTGTAATTGTTAAGAAAAAACATCATACACGTTTCTTTGCATATGATGGTCAATATACAAATAATATAGAAGCAGGCACAGTTATTGATCAAGATATAACACATCCATCACAATTTGACTTCTATTTATGTTCCCAAGCGGCTATGTAAGTCTTTATTTGCCCATTAAAATGATTAAATTCAATTAATTTTGTTAATAGTATGGGTACATCTCGTCCAGCACTGTATCATGTTCTTCATGATGAAAATGGTTTTAGTAGTGATGACATTCAACAACTTACTTATTGGGTATGAATTTTTGTTTCAAATAAATATATTTATTGAATAAATATTTTATAAATTTTAAAAATAGCTATGTCATACGGATGCTCGTTGTACAAAATCAGTCTCAGTTCCAGCTCCAGTTCATTATGCAGATTTGGCAGCACGTGCTGCTCGTATGTTTAAATTTGGTGATAATCTTGATCAAAATGAAGAAAAGTTAGTGAAAGAACATTTTTTTTTGTTCTTCTCTATTTTAATTTTTATATTTAGTGATGATGAATCTGATCGATCAGACAATATTTCATTAAATGATATTGAAACTAGAGTTGTAATATTAAATAATAAAATTCAAAATAATATGTGGTTTGTTTGAACATTGATGTTTGTTTTTTTTATTGAAAAATGTCTTTTGATTTTTGTTTTTTTTTACAATCATTAATAAAGACATGTAAAATGTGTTTGAAATTCTATATACAACTCTATAAGCTATGACATTTAGATTTGTCTCAACAAAAAAAAAACAGAAATTATTTCTACATCAAATAATATAAACAGTTCGACAATTTTTAAATACAATACTTATAAAACTAGTTTACCTGTCAACGGCAAAAAAAGAAATTTGAACTCGCTCATTTTCAATTTAATTATATTTGAACTGTTACTGTAATCTCTAAGAGATTCAAATGTGAAAGATGACGTAAACGTATTTCTTCAGCATTCCTTTACTCAATCATTTAGAAATACGGTAAGAAAATAAACGCTTAGTTTAATTGAATCTGTTGGAATAGTAAAGAAGAAAATAAATGTTGAATACAGCGCACTTTGTCGTTTTAATTTTTGGAAGCAGATCGACTCAGAAAATGATTGATAGTTCAATGCAGTGCATTGTTATTCTTGTTATTTAATATTCTTTATTGTAAAGAGAAAAAAAAACATGGCTCCAACAGCTGACAACATGAAAGTATGTTGCATTTGAGGTTCATCTTTTAATGCTTAATGTTCTTGGAGATTGTCATAGTGCGTGTAGTACTGCGGATGTTGGTCTAGTCGCTATTAATAACATACAAGCATTTCTCTCTAATTTCTCATTTAATTAGTAATCTTAGTCATTGTTCTTAGCTTTTCAGAAAAAAACTATAATAGATGTATCCCAATCAATGACAATTACGATCAGGACTTCCATTTCAAGAATTGAATTAAAATAATCTTCAAGTAAATTTAGTTTCTTGCTGTAATAAAACAAAATACATGCACGAACTATTCTAAGAAGTTCATCAAGTATTGCGTAATTAAATATTTAGACATCAAGAGAACATTTAGTGCTACCAATGCATATGGAGAGGAATTTTTCTCACGCTTTCTATATAGAATTATGATACTGTCGGTGTTAGTCTTGGTAGGCCTCAAGTAATTAGCAGTGCCTAAGAACTAAGAAATAGGAATTCCTAATCTGTTGAGGAATTATCAACATTGTTGTAATAATTCCTTGGAAATGGATATCGATTATTAGTTCCCTCATACATGAAAGTCATCAATTATAAGAGGAGAGTGCATGTTATACATCACTACACGCGAACAATTTTTGAGCAGCGAAAGAATCATTGTGTTCAATTAGAATAGTTGATAAGAACATCAAAAATTATTGGGATTCATAGACATTTATTATCAGTTATGTAGCGTAACATAATTAATGTAGAAAATTTTCAATAACGAAATTTGTTTTATAAAACAAGAAGTCAAGTATATCTATATAAACCGATTAAAATTATTTAATTCGAGCTAATTATATATCATACTTCTTATTGTTTCTCGAAACTCTGAACTTAAATACATTCATCCATTATCGGAATTTTTTTTTTAATGCCCGATATTGACGAGTCAAAAAATATAAACACTAGTCTTTATGAACTTTTTGAATATTTGGTAAAATTGCTTTAAGTATAACAAGAGATATTTCTACACGTAAGTAATTTGATAGTGAAGTCGGCTATTCGATATAATTTTCTTTAAAATTAACTCAAATAATTGTTAGATCGATACACCGTTTACAGATAGCAATCACCTTTTATTATCAGAAGAGATTTGTTATTAAGTACATTTGCTATATATATTACATTTAACATCTTTATTGTTTCTGATTATTTGCTTACGTTTTTAATTCTAAAATAATAGTTCTACACTATAAGCAGATTTTAAAAAATACATGCTTAGCAAAGTTGTTATCAAGTACGTTTATTTAGAATCAGAAAAAATAAATTCAGAATGACTTACGCTATTAATAGACTCTCAAATATACTTATATGTTGTAAAGTTTGAAGTAAGATAAATTGCATCCTTTATAGACTGAACTGTTCTGCAATCTGAAACTCAAAATTTTCCGTTAGCATTCGTTGTGACTATTATTATTCCTTCCATTATTCTTGGAAAATTCATTTCAACCTTTTATTTCGAACTCAAGAGAAGGGAAAAAAATGAAATCAAATAAGAAACACAAAAAAGTATATCATATATATTTTTTAAAAATATCCACTCGATGTGATACGTTATGACATACCAATGATGTTTACTTGAAAAAAAGAGTTCAAGCCATTGAAGAATTTCAAAAAAAAATTGAAAAACTTAACGATTTAAAGAAACCAATGTCACAAATTCAATCAAATTTAACAAAGTTTATGTTGTCAAATCATGATGTTGAAAAGCCAGCAAAAGAACCTCTTGGTAAGTACTTATTAGCCAAAAAATTAGAGTTAATAAAATATATGCTCGTTTAGGTGTTAGAGTTAAGTCATCATCGTACTAATGCTATCTTTGTGAATGATTATTAATGTTTTACTTTTGGGAAATGGTATTCAATCTATGATTATAATGATGAAATTCGCTTTATGATCAACATTATTACATATTGTTAAGAATTTTGCTCTTGTACAATTCGGTAGCTTTATTTCAATTTTTTTTTGTCATTTTTTCTCTACGGTTTTTCCTCTTATTCCAAATATGTTTATAAAGAGATTTCTGTATTTATTCAGTCAAATAAATCTAGAGAATAATAAAATCTATATTTAACTTCAAATATTCGAAATACAGAATGTAACAGAACATTGTCGATTATCCTTACTTGATATTTTAACGGATCTTTGTCATGCAAATTGTTTAATAGAACGAGTCCTTTTAAACTATCAGTAGATTGTAGCATACTTCTCTAATATTAAATATTTTCTGAAATTAAAATAATGTTTTCGATTAGTTCGATATTTTCTAGTGGAAATAAAGCTATCGACAGAATGAACATCTTAGTTTTAATGTTATCAGTAAATGTACCATCTCATTCTCATGGATAGATGTATGTGAATGTGAAGATAAATTTCAAACTAATTTGTCTATTTTTAACTAGATGAATTTTCATATACAATATTAATATAATATTAATCCTATTTACTAATCGATAGAGTTTCATTTGAAATGATTATAAATTATCAGATGCATCGCAAACCAGGACAATCGCCAGCTTTCGGATCCTTGAATTGTTGGCGGAAAGTTTGAGGAAAATATAGTTTCTTGCCGGAAACGATTGCTGTTTTTTTTTATCTAGGAATTAAATGCTTCTGATAACTTGATTGTAAACATAAAATTAATACCGTATGATGAAGCAGATAACGTGAAAATTTTCGAAGCCAGCGAAATGCATATCTCTCAGATGTTATGAAGTCAAAGAACCAAAAACAGAGAATGTTATTTTTTTTCTCACCACCGCTATCACTATGTTGATTGAAGAATGACTATGTATAATGAAACTGGAATTTGTATCATGACATTATTTTTAAGAAATGAATAAAAAATTAATTTTGTAATTTAAACAATTTTTAAACTTTGTACTACAAAGTAATAGACTTTATAAATTTCCTAATAAAAGTTTTGTATGGCATTTATTTAAGATGTTGCCGTCATTGGACTTTATGCTAGATAAATTTTCTAAGAAAGTCTACAAAATCTTTAATTAAAAAAACCTTGTATTTTGCCTTTTACTGCGAAATATAAAAGTTATTTAACGTAAATAAAAATTATTCTTTATTCACATTCTTAGTTCATTTTTTATTGAAACCATAATTAAATTCATTAAACAAAAGCTAAAGATGAAGATTTCTTTTCCAGAAGATTCTAGAGCATTGGCAATCTTTACGATCTTATATGGTAAGTAGTGTCGATTTTATCCTGCTTTGAATAACAAATTTATTTTGTTGAAAAAACAAATATGGCTAGATTAATGAAAGTTACTATTCTAACAAGATGTCACTGATTCAAGTTTTTCATCATCATCATCATCATCAAGTTCTTCTTCTTCTTCGATTCGAGTAGCAATTTTTCTTTTTGGAACATAACGAAATGCTTTTATCCAATTATTATTTGTATGTTTTAATGTTAATAATATATTATAAACTTCATGAAAAGCTAATGCACGACTTGATGTTGAATGAAACCTAACAAAAAAATAGAAATTTAAAATGACAAAAAGGTTTTTAATATTTTGATAAAATGATAATTACGTAAGATATTTTTCTAATGGTAATTTTTGATGACGAATATTTTGTCTAATAGCTTTTTGATATGTTAAAGGTTCTTTATTTTCATCATCATAAATTCCTCCAAGAATATAAACAGCATCATGATCAAAATGTGTCATTTCATTAGGTGAATCAGGTGTTAAATAAATTAAACGATCTTTATCAAATAAATCAATATATAAATCTCTTGTTGAATGAAAATAAGTTGAATGTTCATGTGGTAATAGATGATTACATGTTTGAAAATTATGTGAAAGATCACTTATTATAATATAAGCTGGTGAATGAAAATGATCAATATGTTTAAAACAACGAAAAACTCTTTGAACAAGTGATGAAAAATATGAATGACGAGCATGAGCAAATTCAAAACCACCATCAATAACAAAAAAATCTCCTAATCGTGCTGCTCTTGCTAATGCATAAAGATTAAGCCAACGTTGTGGATTATATTTCATATCTAATGTAGCAAATATTGTTTGATGAAAAAGAGATTCTAAACGATTAGAATCTGATATAGTAGCAAGCATTTCTTTTCTTTTTTCCATTCGAAATCGAAGACGTTCTCTTCGTGCTTCTTCATCACATAAATATCTTAAAAATCAATATATAAAAAAGAAAAAAAAATTCTTTTATTTATTTAACTTACTCATAAAGATCACGTCTAATATTAAGTGATTTAGTAATAAAAAGTCTTTGCCAATATTTAGGAGCTATACTTGATTTTGGTACAGGTTGAGCCCAATATTGATTTAACCAATACATTTCTTCCCAAAGAATATTCTTTTTTGTATCTTCATCATTTATTTGATCA